TAAAGACTGTCAGACCTCTAAAGAGCAGATGCAAGCCCTAAAAGATGTTTTTGTAATAGTTAGTTCATTTGAAAAGTTAACCCTTTGGAGAAAATTATTCAGTTTAAAATTAAATAAAAATGAAAGTTTAGATAACCGATTTCTAAAGTTCGATACCATAATAAGAGACCTACAAGACTAAGGTTCACAAATTGATGAAACAGACAGAGTTTGTCCATCACAGTACGACACACATCACAGCATTGGATACCGTTAGTGACGTGAAAATGGATTTTGTGAAAACCAGGCTGCTTGATGAAGTACTTAAACCAATATTTAAAACTTTAAATGAAAATCAAGCTGGTAGTAGTGACTAAAGTATAAATACGTCTACAGGGTGCTATATTTATGGTGATAAAAATCATTTTAAAGCACAGTGCCCTAAAAGAAACTTTTATGGACGGTTTAATAGAGGAAGAGGGCGTAGAAGTAGAAGTTTGAAACTAGGTTTTAATAGAAATATAGAACAAGCAAATTCGGCAGAAAATAACATCGTGTTAGAGGCAATGGGCGTAAACTATCAAAATTATATGTTAAAAGATAATGTTTTTATGTTGGACTCTGGTGCAAGTAATCATTTTGTAGAAGATGAACTAGAACAGTTTATGATCAATATAAAAAAACTGGAAGAAGTGATGTCAGTGCACACTGAAAATGGTCAGATTCTGAAAGCCACAAAGAAAGGGGAGCTGCAGGTGAAATGTCAAGGTAAAAATATGACTATAGAAGCTTTAATAGTACCACGTATAAAACATAATTTACTCTCAGCTACTAAATTGACTTCAAGAGGTCATAAAATAATTGTTGAAAAGAATATGACAAAAATAATTGGCAAAAATTTTGAAATTATTTGTAAAATAATAAACATTTTAAAATTTAATAATATTGTGCATAAAGAATGTAATATAACTACGTAAAATAAAAATGTATGGCACAGACGACTAGGTCATGCTAACAGAAAATCACTCAAACAGTTAGGTCTCCCTGTCTCAGATAAAAATTGTAATGTTTGGCTAGAGTCAAAAGTTACTCGTCTACCTTTTCATAACGATGATAAATGTTCAAAAGAAATAGGAAAATTAATACACAGTGACATTTGCGGTCCTATTAGTGCAGTTACATGTAATACTGAAAAATTCTTCCAAGTTATCATAGATGATTTTTCTCATTTTCTTATAATAAAATTATTAAAGAATAAAAATGGGGCAGACAGAAATGTAAAAGATTTTATTATAGAGCTTGAAAGACAGCATGGAAAAAAGGTAAAGCGATTAAAATTAGATAATGGGGAGAATTTAGCTCCAATAGTTTTAAAAAAATTTGTAGAAAATGTGGTATAAAGTTAGAGCATACAATGCCCTATAGTCCTCAAATGAATGGAAAATCTGAACGTATGAATCGTACTCTCTTGAATATGATTAGAGCAAAAATAGTAGATACAGGTATACACAAATATTTGTGGGGCGAAGCTTTGAAAGCAAGTGCCTATGTGCTTAACAGAACGTCCACTTCCGTCCTAGGTATGGGCCAAACACCTTTATTGATTTTTAATGGAAGAAATTATATCACAAAATTAAGAGTTTTGGATGTCGTGCATGGGTCACTAATGTACCTAAAGATAATAAGTTAACTTCAAGGGCAAAAAGTGCAGTCATGATTGGTTACTGTGGTGGTGGTTACAGACTATGGTTACTAGAAGCAGAAACATTTATTAAGTCAAGATATGTAAGATTTGAAGAAAATGTTACGGAACTTTTAATAAATAAAGAAAATACAAAAGCTGAAAAAGAAATTCAAGAAAATAAAATAATTCTATCAAATATTGAAGAAAATGTAGATACATATACTGATGCTGAATTAAGGAATGGACAAGAAAAATAAATTACAGAAAATGAAGAAAGAGACAGGAATAGTGATAGTGAAACAGAAGAAGAAATTAAGCAAATAACTAAATCAGGTAGAAAAATCAGTAAACCACCAAATGAAGAGCCAAAACATTTAAAGAAGCTAGAGAACGCAAAGAATAGAAGCAGTGGAAAAAGAGTTAAATTCACATGAAAAATTGAAACGATGGACTGAAGCTAGACTACCCGACGGAGAAACAGCCATAGAAACAAAATTGATTTTAAAGTAAACGAAGACGGTATGAAAAAGGCAAGATTAGTTGCGAGAGGGTTCCAGGAGACAAGAGACATTGAGTTTAGCTACTCTCCAGTATGCAGAATGTCAACGATAAGAATTTTATTATCAGTTTCGGTACAAAACAATTGGGAATTGAAACAGATAGATGTCCTAACAGCATCTTTAAATAGTAAAATAGAAAAAGATATTTACATAATACCCCCAGAAGGTGTATAAACTAAAGAATATCTTGTATTAAAATTAATTATAATTATATGGTTTAAGAAGTGCTTCAAAAGCTTGGAAAAATAAATTTAATAAAATAATGTTTACTCTTGGTTTTGAAAGGTCAAAACATGATTTTTGTTTATAATATAAGAAAAATATTTTTCTAGTACTATATATGCAGATGTTACCTTAATAACTGGTGAAACAGATTTTTACAAGATTTGCACAGATAAAAGATATTAAAATTATTAATAATGTATCATCTTTTTTAGGAATGACAATACAAAGGACCCAAAAATACCTAAATATTTCACAGACAAAATTCTTGAAGAATTTAACATTAAGGAGTGTAAAAGAGTGACTACTCCGATAAAAGTTGCTTTTTCAATAGAAGATGCTTCTGTTATTGAAGAAATACCCTATCGTCGTTTAATCTGCAGTTTGATGTACTTAGCTGTAACCAGTCAACCAGATTTATCATATGCCAGATCTTATTTAGGCAGATATCTGAAAAAACCTACAGATCAAGCATGGAAAGCTAGTAAAAGAGTGTTGGACTAAAAACTTGGGACTGGAATATAAACAAGGTAAAAACAAATAAGAATGATTTAGTGATGCAGATTAGGCCGGTGGTAAACAGACTCGAAAAAGTGTTAGTCGGATTTTATGCATGAATTCCAGTTTCGTGGCATTCGAAAAACCAGAATTAGGTCGCGTTATCGTCAACGGAAATATGTTAGCAGGTGCAGCAGCACAGGAAGTAATAAATTTAAAAGGGTTACTTCATTGTGCCATCTCTATGATTAATTTAAATGAAAACTCCAAGCGTGGAAAACATATAGATCATTTCATTAAAGACTTATTTGTAAAAGGGGAAGTTTTGATTGAATATGTTAATACAAATAAGAATATTTCGGATTTGTTTACAAAAGCCTTAGGAAAACAAAAGTTTACAAAGTTTACAGATTTGTTATGTAGAGAATAATTTTGTTTTGTCAATTTGATAATTTTGTTTTTAATGTTTAAAAAAATATTCATTGAGGAGGTGTGTTAAATATGTTGCTGCACAACCTACTAAGTAAGTGAACTGTCAAAAGTCATGTCACTGTCATCCTGTCTAGTAAAGTCAGTTGTCGGTAGTCACTAAAGTATTGGCGGTTACAAAATGCTTGTATTTGTCTATTTAATATACGTTTCTTAATTTAACTAAAAAGGTGTTTGATTTTATTCCCATAAAAGTTCTCATTTCGAGAAATCACATACTAACGCGTCTTCACATCGTATACCGCTGTTTAGGGGTTTGCGCTAATATGTAGGAAATATGATAGCGTTCCTACCACCTACTAGCAATACGACGCGGTTTCCGGGGTTTTTAAAATAACTCGTTATTCTGCCTCACCCTATACATATTTTGGCTACTTATTTGGAAATTTTATGATTTTCAGTTCAAATTTTAAATGTCTGTATCTGTGTTTATACCGAAGCTTTAGGCTTGTTTTACCCATTTTTCAACTCCAGCATGTCAATATTTTGATCTATTTAAGGATATTTGTCAAGGACGCATTAGTTATATTATTTGGCACTCATAAGTTAGTATTTTTACTGATACCTATTTATTTCTGTTATAAAATTATTCAAAGCTTTATATATGGTACGATCCTGCTTTTTTCAGTTGCCTTACTATTTTTAGATCTTCTCCATTCTTCTTGTGTTCTAACATTCGGCGGCATATCTCAATTTTTATACGCTTATTTTTTCATATAATGTCCCTTAAATATCCCGATTCCAAAGATTACAGCCGGGTTTATAGGTTAGGTCTATATCTCCTTCTTCACGTCGGCAGTTGATTACAATCTTCTCACTTTAATATTATGGAACAGTGTGTTTGCATCTTCAGTGTTTATTGAATTATGCTTGTTGAAAAATCTATTAATATAGTCTCTCAATATTCCATTGTCTTTATTTCATTTCGTTATAATATTATATGAATAGAAATTTTGAAAATAAACCTTTACAATAGAATCTACTAATCCGGCTACAAATTCGAAGATATAGGTATTTAAATTATAACCAGAATTAAACGAAGCATCAAAATAGAAATTTGAAATGATTTAACCACAAAACTACTTCATAAACAAACAACCAAAATGAATCTAATTTGGAAAATATCTTCTCTATATATCAAAAAACGTTTATATAAACTAATCATAGAGGCTTATAAAAGCGTTGTTTTGTAATTAACACATAATATTTTATTTCAGTAACTATTGGACCTACACTCTACAGTTTCGAAATCGAATAGAATAATTATAATATTTATATACTTATTGTAAGAGAGAGTTGATAGAATTGTCCTTACCCTTTCCTTTGTCATTTGAGCTGCTCGTTCCTTGAATGAAATAAGATTTTAATAAAGAAATTAATATTATAAAAGTGCAAATATCAAATATGCTCATGTGCACACTTCGTGCTAATTTGCAGACAAATAATTTATTATCTATACCTTCCATATGAGACGCCGATAAATCTGTGTAAAATTGTGTTAGAAGTGGTAAAATGTTTTTTTGTTAAATTTTTCGAGATTTTATATTAGAAACAGATGTGATACTTACTCCAAATTCTACAACCATAGCATCCACGATACTACCAATGACTGTTACGAAGTCAAATGTATTCCATGGGTCCTTGAAGAAATTCTGCGAAAAATCAGAATAATTTATTTAAAACTGTACTAAATTGAATTTCAGCTGTATATGATTGGCGGTATTCACTGAACTGTTTGCATCCTCTAAGAAACGTTGTTACAAGTATCAAAATTAAATATGTAAAAGGAATAACAAATATATAACGGCATAGTTTTATTATTATGTTATATTAAGAAAGATGCGAAAAATCTATATCGCAGTCAGATTGAGTATGTTCTTGAAGCAATTTTACTAATCCGTATTCACGTTCTGATAGAAAAGGAGGCCAGGATGGTATTTAATAAACCTATGTTGGTTAGCAGCCAACTTAACTGGGCCTATGATGTGGCAAAACGAGTATGAATAAGTTAAATTAAAAATAACCGGTCTCGGAATAGGATAAGATGGCTAATTTCCTATCTATACAGAAAAGTTCTTTAACATTTTCCATCTTTCATTTATATACGGTTTACTAATTGCTCAACAATCTTTCAAGAAGAGATTCTGGCGATAGAATAAAAGTTAGACACCAGATTGGTGATAAATCTCCCTCTTACAAACAAAAGTAGGTATATACACTGAATAATAGGCAGATTTTAATCCCTAAAATAGATTTAAAGCTAGTTTGAAATTGTATAATGTGCCTCACTGCTTGGAAGGTGTTTCTTTGATCTAGGTGCTGGATGGAAAATATTAAAAAACTTACAATACCGCTAAAAAAGGCATCGAATCTAAGTAGATAGGACCAGAACCATTTCTTGGCATAACAAATAGTACAGCGAAAAAAAAATATGAATGAACACAGGAAAATCGAACCACATGAAGGAGATGTAGACAACAACCGGGCTGTCGACTCTTCAACGAAGAAGATGAAATAGCAGTGTATTATAGAACCAGCTTAAATAATTGGGTTCCATATACAGGGTGAGTACTGAACCTAGAGCAAGCACAGATTATTTGGACCAAAATATGGGGATAGGAGTAATCATGTCCCAATAAAATGTTGCTGTGAAAACCTTTAAGAGTATTAAGCAACTGTAAGTTCTTTCATTACGTCATTTATGCTGTTTAGAAATAGAATAGAATATATTTTTAAAAATACAGTAATATTGATAAACAACGTCAAATATAACTAAAAGATTAACTTCTGCCTTACATCACTGCAGTTAAAATGTATTAGTAGACGTCCTAATCAGAAACGGAAAATAAATTGAGCCATACATGTTCATTAAAGAAACAGTTAATAAGATAACTGGTTGGAGCTTCTAGAACAGAAAATATTTAAAGAAAGTAATTTAAGATAGGAATGGGAATATTAACGAAACAGTGTAGCCTTAGAAGATATCTGTAATTAGAAAACTGGGTATGGCAACGAACATGTCTGGTAACTTAAAGGGATAATTCCCTCATTTAATACACATGAGAGACATAAATATTCCCCCTCTCTACAAGTATACCTACCTTTCAAGTAGCGAGTTGAGTCTACAATATTTTGAAGCCGAGAATTTCAATACAAAATATTTTTGGTTTCTTCAAGAATAATAACCAGATAGGATTTATATTATCTTTATAATAATAAATTATAACTTTTACTAAATTATAAAATAAAATTAAAAAGAACTTAATTTGTCTTCTCCATTGATTTGAACCCCGGACCTTCTGCTCTATCGAATCAAATAGTATTAGCTTTTCTAATAATAATAAATAGATTGGTATAAGACATTTTTTTCTTTGTATATGGAAAAGTATCTTGTATATTTCCATTATTTATCGATTTTTAACTAGAATAACTAATTTAAAGTAACTATAATAAATAAAAATATGTCAATTAAATTAGTTTAAAAAAAGAATAATTGAACTATGATTTTATAGATTTTATAGACTCATCACCGTTAAGGGGGGCAAATCGGAATTGGAGGGTAAATAGGAACGAAATTCGGTAGAATGTTTTAAACTTGTATTATGTATTTTGGACTCGCTCTACAAAATCAAACCATCTGTTAAAATAACCGCAAATGTATGTTCTTCCGATTGACAATATTGAACTGTCATTCCATCAATTGTCAGCTGTCAAAAATCAGCTGATAAAAACACGGTATTTTGCTCAGAATATATATATAGTCAGAAAGGAGGAATCCTAAACGACCTTGGAATTGCGATAGTATCTAATTTTGATAGTGAACTAGACGAATATGGCGACAAGTGTTTCCGGTCTACCAGTGACGTACTGTCATAAAGAGACGTAGAAAAGAAAATAATAAATTCTCATTTGCATATTATCCAAATTTACCGATTTCTCCCATTTTAACGAATTTCTATTTTCTTCTATAACCTTCATTACGTGAATAAATTTTACTTTAAAATTGCATGTTGGGTGGGATAAATATAGGAAAATATTTTTGGGATAATTTATAGAAGGATTTAATTTTAAAAATCAAAGCTATTAAAAAAAAATATTGACATTTTACGTCTTTATTAGTCTACATTTTACAAATTATTAATTTTAAAAAATAAATGTGTTTTGTAGATATGTGTTAAAAAACATTAAACATCCTATACTTATATTTAGGTTAAACTTCCTAATATCGAAGAGAATTTCTGATCATTTTATTACATAATATTATTAGTAATATTTTTTGCAGGATAATTTTGCATAAGCAGGTAAAACTACTTTCCAAGAAAGGATCCGATAACGTAATAATGATTCTATGAGTGCAAAATAGAATATTTTTAAATGTACGTTCAACGCATTATTTGTATGCTTGGTCCAGTTATGATGAGAGTCAATTTGTACTCTAAGGTATTTGATATCATTTGTAATTCTTATATGAAACTACTGAACGTTACTTTTTATTGTTTCTGTAGGAAGAGGCCATCTTTTTGTAATTGTATAATGGAACAACATAAGTTTTATCAAAGGTTTGTAAGTTTTTATAATTAAACCATTTAAAAAATTTTATAAGATCTCTTTCTATTAATAGTTTTAATCAATTCCAGTTCTCTGCATTTTACAGATTAACTGTGTCGTCTAAAAAACTTACAATATTTCCATCTGTATTTAAACGACAAATTATTTAAAATGAAATTAAACAAGATAGTATAGACAGTATCTTGAGGCATGCAGTATGCTACTTATTTCCTTACTTGAGATATTATTAATTCTATTTGTGTTCATTTTTGCAAATAACTTGGTAATAAATTATATAGGGTGCATCACATTCATACAATAAACTTCTATTATACGAAAAAAACGGCACATGATATAGTAAGTAAAGAATTTATTTACTTATATACTTCAACCGGACCACTTTTGTTATTGGAACAGCTGTTGGTAGAAGTCTTATTCTTGGTTTTGAGGTTCGAACAAAACAAAATGGCGTGAACACAAAAAATTAGGATATTTTGGCTCACAATTTGTTTGTTGCATGAACTCAAGCCATAACTTTGTTTTTTGAGAATCTCTAGGAAATCTAAAAATTGTCTACCTGGGATTAATTTATATAATTTGTAAATCTAGAATCTTTAAGAAATCTGAAAATTGTTTACTTGCAATCAATTTATAAATCTAAATTGAACAATAATGTATTCATTTTAACAACCACATAAATTTCTTAAAATTGCATAAAATAATTGTTTAAATAAAAGTATGTATACCCTATAAACCATGAGACTACGCCTATGAGCACAATTGATCGCAGACGCACTTACTATGTTTTTTTACAAATTTAAAACATTAAAAATTTTAAAAATCTTTACTGTGGTTGAAAATTGAGAGAACAAAATACTTGCTTATGAAATGTAGATTATTCCTTTCTACTGTTAGCTGTGATGCTATAACGACAAGACGAACAACTGACCATATTGTCTTGTTTGTCTTTTAACGCGGAAAATTTAAAATTAATAGTAATACTTAATAAATACTGAAACACTAAACACTTTTTAAAAATGTCTACAGAACATAAGCTTGTTAAAAGTTTAAATTAACACATAAAACATCAAAATTATTAAAAAATTTTAATCACTAAAATTATAAACCAATTTTAGAAACCATTTATCATATGATGATGAGTCATCCATAGTACAACATAGCTACCACTTCCGTCAGATCGATTAGATTAACGCGGACATGGCATGCTCCTTCCTGACTATATATGTTCTACGGATGAAACAAGTAGCTGGAATGTTGTCAGGAATCTTTTAAGTTATCCCGACTATACTACAGCAACTAAAATACTTATCTATGACCAGACCTAATCTGCGCCTGATGACAGGCATTCTGACTGATCATTGCCAAGAACGAAAGCATATTCATAGAATGGGGCTGTTAGAATCCGCACTCTGTAGGGGCGTGAACAGAAAGATAATATTATCGAGCACATCCTCTACAATTGACAAGAGATATGTTCGGCCGATATAAGAGAAACATCTCACAGTGGACCTGAGGTATAATTGCCATGGAGTAACCCGCCCTCCACACTTTACAGATACAGTGCGAGGATATAAGCACACGAAAAGATCGATCAATACAACAAACATTATGTTTGCTGCCTCTAGCAATGGAAAATTACTATCTCTGTATGGTTTATGAAGCGGAACACATTTATTCTTCCTGGGGAGCAGGGGCGGCTGGTGACCAAAATTTTGGGGGTTCACAGTAGTAGAATATAGATCCCGGTACAGATATAGTTAAAAAACTGTCAGTGTTTTAGAAAGGTATATTATAAACTTTCTAAAACACTTTTTTTTATATCTGTACTGATACCTATATTCTGTCACTGTGAACCACCCCACGACTTGGTTTGTTTTTTTTTCTGTTTAAATTGCCCTTGTAACGTTTTGAATGGCAAATATAACAATAAATAATTAGGTGTTTTTATTGTCCCCAATCCAGAGTGAGTAGGACTTTTCATGATATTAAACCTTCAAAAAAGATCGCAATTTTTTGAAATTTGACCAAATTAGTTACAAATTGTTCCTATTCTTCCCTTTTACGGTACTAGAATGGATATGAATAGGTATATATCCGTTTATTTTACTGGTATTGCTTACTTATTCGTTCTGTAGTTTGTGCACTTTCAATAAATTAAACGTACAATTATATAATTTACTATTATTTACCAGTATTTACTTGTTCTCTTCAATTTTATAAAATAGTAATTTAAAAATAAAAGGTATTTAACATTCAAATGGCCGGTTCTAAATTGTTTCATAAACTTCAGTACATAAAATGAAATTTTACAAGAAAAGGAAGGCACGAAATTTATAATAATCTAAATACCATAATTCACATATTTTAAGAAATATAATATTATACTATAATATTTACATAGTTTTAAAATTTATTTACTTAATATAAATAATTTTAATCAAGCATTTTATGAATTTGAGGTTATTTTAATTTTAATATTGAATGTACTGATTAGGGTTTGCCACAAATTAAATGTTAAATATTTCACTATTTATTCCTAGAATTCTAAGAATAATGCTGATATCTTAGAAACTTAAAAATAAACTAAATTTTTTAAAAAGACTTTCTGCATTGTGGAAAGTTATTTTGTGCCTAATAGATATTTTTGGTGATACACGGATGATGCAATTTCCTACAAAGAAACTACATATACATAATTGATTTTAATACTTGTAACATTAAAACCCACTTCTACCTGTGAATAAATATTAATATTAATACTATAAACTAATAAACGAATAAAGAATTTTTAATAACTTTATATATCAGGAAATGTAAAACATTTTCTCTATTAAAAGAAGAGCAATACTCTTTAGAATCTATTAATAAAACTTTTGTATAAAAAGTGAAATTATAGTAACTAAAAATTCTTGTAAATTGCATTTAAACTAATATAAATGTCAGTATGTGTCAAGGTGATAAAAAATATTTAAATTTTACCTTGATACCGTAAGCGATTAACTTCAAAAGAGTCTCACAGAGGAAGAGAAATGTAAAAAGTATGTTCATAACGGCGAGGATGTCGGACAACAAAGGTGGAGAATCGTGGTACTACAAATAACTCAAAAATATATATCTAAACTACAAAAGCATTAATAATAATAATTAAAAATTTAAAAAGTCGGCACAACCAGATATGTCAAAAACCCGGTGTATTCATTATGTCTTCAAGTCTGAATACTTCGGACGAATTCCTCTAGCCCATTGTGTGAAGATTGTTGTTTTTGTAGCTACATGCAGTTTGATAACATTAAATTAGCCATGCAACAAAACATAGACCAAAATTGGACAAAACATTCTCAAAATTACACAGACCCATAATACAGTTAAATCATAAGTAGGTAGATCAATCCCAGTAAACTGTCCTTCAAAAATTTAATTTAATGACTAGAGAAAGGCAAATACATTTTCGATTGACACGTCTTATTCATGACTTATCGACATTTTATTTTTAAATGAAAAAAACTGCAAAATGAGAAAAACTGATTCAACCGGGTGTTCAAATTAAAGTGTTACAGCTATATACCGCATTTTATAAAAAAAAAACTTTTCAGACGAAAGTTTTATAGTTTTGTGGGGAAAAATTTTTGGCTAAAATCGTTTTTTATAGCTAACCATAATATGGCCAACTTTTTTTTCGCCTACCAAAATTTTCAAGTAGCTGCTACTCAAAAAGTAAAAGTCCAATAAAAAAAATATTTCCATCCAAAGTTTCTTATTTTTTTATGTACTTTAAGAATATGTAAAAAAATGGGATTCCCATTTAAAAAAACAAAGTCCAAAAAACTATAAAACTTTTGTCTGAAACTTTTTTTTCTAAAATGCATATTTTCGGCAGTATTTAACTGTAACACTTTAATTTGAACACCCGGTATATACTTAATTTTTGTTCGACTGAGTTTGCTGATATAGATCTATATAGAACAATCACAGATACAAAAGACAATTTAAGTAAAAAGTATTTCGCAGAACAGTTCAGTGATATACTGTGTGATTAAATTCATGCTAATTGTTACAGAATTTGAGAGGTAGTTGCTCCAATGTTGAAATCAAAGAAAATCAATGAATGCATTCTGATTACCACAAATATGAATATGCATTAACAGTCATATTTACAATAAAATTTAAATTTGTGTGCATCTCTAACACCATGTGTAATTGTAAATTAGTAGAAGGTCAGACACTTGGAACAATTTTTTGATTTTTCCCCAGATCTGAAGAAATTGGTAGGTTAGGTTTGGCAACACCGCACTGCATAAATCAATTGTTAGTATTGCCAATAATGCTACAAAAAAAAACGTGTCAATAATGGCAATGTTGTAACAGTGTTACTAACTGATCGCTAAATGGTAGCTCAATGGTAGCTGCCGCTGGTAAACATGGAATAGAAGACACCATCTGCTGGTGGATAGAAGACATATTACGCGGACGGCAAGTTCAGGCACAATTGTTTAGTGAAAACATGCAGGTGAATATCCTTAGGGGATGTCCACAGGGTGGAATCTTTCTCCTCTACTGTGGAATCTAGTAGTAGATGAACTACTAAAAACAAGGAGGGAAACACCAAACCAAAGGCTAACAGAATTGTGGTACGTTAAGAAAAACTTCTTGGTAAACCCTGACAAGGCACAACTCATAACATTTACTCGGAAAACAAGGGATGGAGAAAGTCCGACTCTGTTTGGAGGAAGGGTACACAAAACGAACCAAATATCTGGATCTAAGATAGCAAATTACAAAAAGTGACCAACATATGTAAAATGTCTCTCATTGTAAGGAGGCGGGCATTTAAAAAAACATAGGGATTAAAACCCAAAATGGTCTACTGGCTTTATTTGGCAATAACAATGGTTGTATGCTGGCCAAAAGTAAACCAGAAAACAGCCCTCAATACCGTCTCAGGAGTTCAAAGGCTGGCATGCCTTTCTATTACAGGAGCACTGACAAGTACACCGACAGCCTCTATAAAAATTATTCTAAACCTCCCACCGCTTGACCTGGTCATAAAGGGGGACGCCAGAATGAGTGCATACAGATTGGACATCTCCAACAAATAAAACCCAATAGAACTCACTGGGATATATAAAACATACCAGAATACTTAAAGTAAATGATCCCATATTAAACATGGGATCAGATCACATAATATGACCCCGTCTTACCTTTAACAGACTCGTCCAGGTCAACTGCAACTGGAACGAAGTAAATAAGAAGGTAGATAAATACTTGCTTAGCAGTCTTGTATGGTATACGGATGGATGTAAAATTAACAAGAGAACAGGCTCTGGCGTACATGGAGGTAAACCCAAATTCGACATTATCGTCTCACTGGGAAAACATATCACTGTAATTCAGCCTGAAATACATGTATTCGAATTGTGTGTACGAGAGAATTTAAGAAGGCAGTACAAAAACAAACCATCGTAATTCTCCCAGATAGCCAAGCAGCCTTAAATGCTTTTGATTCAAACAGAATCAAGTCAAAGCTTGTTTGGCTTTGCCTTGGAATACTAAATAATCTGGCAACCTACAATAAGGTAAAACTAGCTTGGGTACCAGGACACAAAGGTATCCAAGAAAATGAGAAGGCAAAAAATGTATCAGAACTACCATTCACAGGACTCGAACCTGTATTTGGGATAAGCATTACCTCTGCTCGGCAGGCAGTGATTAGGTGGATGACCACAAAACACTAAATTCACATGCAACAGATAAGAGGGCACAGAATAAGTAAGCTGGTGTTAAATGGACCAAACCCACGCATGGTTGCCGAGGCATTACAACTCGCAAGGCCTCAAATATACACCATTGAGAGATTACGAACGGACACTCCTTGCTAAAACACCTTCATGTGATGAGATTACACAATGATACCACTGCATGGAAGAGGAAGACACCTCATACCATGTGATCTTCGAATGCGAAGCTCTTTCTAGGGGTGTCTCATCCTTTTTGGCCTAGAACCCTAAAGAACGCCCCAAGAACACTTGGTAGGGAACTTATTAAAACTAACCAGAGACACATGACTATTTTAAAGATAGTACCTGAATACAGGGAAAGCAGGGGAATATAATAGACCCAAGAGGCCAAACCTAACCATAGCTCCCTTAAGATAAAAATTATTGGAGCCACCTTTAATTTTAACTTTCTACCTATTACGGATCATTGTTTGGAGTATTTTTTCTCTATATTATTTTAACAATAGAATTTTGGCATACAATTGCTACATATTAAAAAATTGTGTTTCAGTAACTAATTGATGTATTTATAAGAAAGGCCAATACTGGAGAAATGTCTTGATATAAGCCTTTAAGAATTGCGGATGTTATCTAGACCTGGTTTTTTATTAGTTTTTTGAGAAAATAGATTGAGTAACTTCTTTGTCATCTGTGCTCGATAAAAATATTGATTTAATTTTTAAACAATTTTTAATTTTTGATCTTTAGTTAATTTTGATGCAATATTTTCCCCAACCACAAAAAATATTTGCTATTTTTTCTGTGTGATTTGTAATATCCCTATCTGGAGTCTTTATTTGTGTAATAGATTGTTTTTTTTAATTTTGTATTAGACATCTTTTTGATGCAGCTCCAAAGATTCTTCGTATAATATTTTAATTTTATTCAATTTTTTTGGTTATAGTATTCAGTTTGATTTTTTATATTAGCAAATTTAAGTGATTGCGGTAATTTTTAAAATTTATTTTATTTTTTCCGTATAATTATTTTTCTTCGTTTGTATAATGTATTCATTTGTTTGATAGATGCATGTCTCATAGGTTAGTACCACTGTTGCAACGTTACCATTTAATAACAAGTTTTTCCTGGGGAATTATTGGGCATACTTACTATTGATTTTCATGCGGCACGGTGTTGCCAGATCTACTCATCAAATTTCCCCAGATATGGGGAAAAATCAATGAAATTGTTCCAAAGTGTCCTACCTTCTGCTTAAAATCATTTAAATATTTCGTTCTTAGGTTTTTAGTTTTTTTTTACATTTTGGTCTATTTAATTTAGTTGTATCTCAGTCAATTTTACCTCAGTTTTAACTGACAGATACAACCATCGCTTATACAAAGACTATCAATAACTGATCTAAATTATTAGCCTACCTCTAGTTAGTATTATAATAATTTTGAAAATAGTTATGTTAACTAGAAAATATTTTTGTGTTTGATAATCAGGTATTTGTTAGTAGACTAGAGTTGTCATGCTTAGATATTTTAAATAAAAAACCTACCAAATTATAAACAATGTGCTTAGTGATTTTAAATAATTTAGCTAATATTTAATTTCAGAAGCTAATCTCAAAATATTTTAACTTAAAAAAGGAAATAAATAAATAAAATAGAAATAAAATTAATAATATAATTTAAAAGAGATAGTAATTGTATTTAAAATCATAAACTGTTTTTCGGTGTAAAATTTTGTACTAATAATTTCCACATAAATAAATTATGATAGTTATAAAAATGTATTTATCCTATATGGGACATAGGATTAAAAAAATCCCATTTTCTACAACAAATAACTGAGTGTCAGAGCACTTCGAATACAAAAAAACTTGGTAGCTGTGTTCCTAATATGTCCTTACCCTTACGCCGAAAGCAAGAATCTTCAGGATACATTCCACAGTAAACATTCCTGTGAATCCCCAGTTGAGGTGCTTTAACGTATTGGTGTAGGTTTCGCCTTGCTTGTCATACTGTTAACACAAGATCAGAAAATGGCATATGGCAGGCACTAGCCAGTTTTCAGACTAAATAGAACTAGTCAGTTAAAGAGAAATATTCGATTCTAAGTAAATATTCACTTGATTTTGTTTTAATCTTGAAGTAAAATGAAATAACAAACGACAAAGACAACATTCATAATGCAAAAGTACAATATAACAGGTGACATTTTTATATTAGGTTCATAAAATATTACTTATGTGAAATTAAAAAATATATATATCAAATATCAAACAATTATGTATTAAGTTTTTCGAAAATTTATATTTTATTTTTAATTTAAAAAAGGATGGTTTTAACACTTTAACAATTTCTA